CAAGAATCTGCCTGCATTGTGTCGCTCGAGCGACCGCCGGCTAACTGTGTCTGTAGGGGCACGCCTCCGAGAACCCCAAGCTCCCCGAATCCCTCGCCGCCTCGCCAAAGAAGATTGTCTTCATCGGTCCTCCCGGGTCTGCCATGCGATCTCTCGGCGACAAGATTTCTTCCACAATCGTCGCGCAGCACGCGGCCGTGCCTTGCATTCCCTGGTCAGGAACCGGCGTCGACAGCGTCGAGGTCGACAGCAAAGGCATCGTCACTGTTTGCTGATGACGTGTACGGCGCAGGGCTGCGTCCACTCTCCCGTGGCAGAGAGGGCCTCGAGGAAGGCCAAGGCCATTGGCTTCCCCCGTCATGTCCAAGGCCTCCGGAGGGGCGGCGGTTGGAAAGGGCATCCCGCAAGGTCGTTTCGGAGGGACGGCTTCGAGGAAGCTGTACAAGGCGGCCGGCCAGCGAAATCCCCGGTTCTCCCATCTTCATCATGAAGCTCGCCGGCACCGCGCGGCATTGGGAGGTGCAGCTGCTGGCGGATCAGTACGGCAACAACATCTCGCTGTTCGGCAGAGATTGTTCCGTGCAGCGTCGTCACCAGAAGATTATCGAGGAGGCCCCCGTCACCATTGCCAAGGACGCGACGTTCAAGGCCATGGAGGACGCTGCTGTGCGTCTCGGCAGGCTCGTCGGTTACGTGTCTGCTGGTACCGTCGAGTACCTCTACTCACACTCGGACGACAAGTTCTACTTCCTGGAACTGAACCCGCGTCTTCAGGTTGAGCATCCCACCACCGAGATGGTCAGCGGTGTCAACCTGCCCGCCGCCCAGCTGCAGGTCGCCATGGGCATTCCCCTGCACAGGATCCGCGACATTCGTCTGCTGTACGGCGTCGACCCCAAGACGTCGACTGAAATCGACTTTGAGTTCAAGGACCCCGGAAGCGAGAAGACCCAGAGGAGGCCCCGTCCCAAGGGCCACACCACGGCCTGCCGTATCACCTCGGAGGACCCCGGTGAGGGCTTCAAGCCTTCCAACGGTGTGATGCACGACCTGAACTTCAGGAGTAGCTCCAATGTTTGGGGCTACTTCTCCGTCAGCTCTGCCTCCAGTATCCACAGCTTCTCCGATTCACAGTTCGGTCACATCTTCGCGTACGGCGAGAACCGCTCCGCGTCCAGGAAACACATGGTCATTGCCTTGAAGGAGCTCAGCATTCGTGGTGACTTCAGGACAACCGTCGAGTACCTTATCAAGCTGCTCGAGACGGAGGCCTTTGAGGACAACACCATCACCACCGGCTGGCTCGACGAGCTCATCACCAAGAAGTTGACTGCTGAGCGCCCTGACCCCATGCTGGCTGTCGTCTGTGGTGCTGTCACCAAGGCGCACATTGCCAGTGAAGACTGCATCTCGGAGTACCGCAAGAGTCTGGACAAGGGTCAAGTGCCCTCCAAGGACATCCTGAAGACGGTCTTCGCTGTGGACTTTATCTACGAGGGCTTCCGCTACAAGTTCACCGCCACGCGTGCCAGTGTCGACGCCTACCACGTTTTCATCAACGGGTCCAAGTGCGCCGTCGGTGTCCGCGTTCTCAGTGACGGTGGCCTCCTGATCCTGCTCAGCGGACGCAGCCACAGCGTCTACTGGAAGGAGGAAGTTGGCGCTACGCGACTGTCCGTTGACGGCAAGACGTGCCTGCTTGAGCAGGAGAACGACCCCACGCAGCTCCGCACGCCCAGCCCTGGTAAGCTTGTGAAGTACCTCGTCGAGAACGGTTCGCACGTCAAGGCCGGCCAAAGCTTCGCCGAGGTTGAGGTGATGAAGATGTATATGCCTCTCATCGCCTCCGAAGACGGCGTTGTTCAGCTCATCAAGCAGCCCGGAGCTACGCTTGAGGCTGGTGACATTCTCGGCATACTCGCCCTCGACGACCCCAGCAGGGTCAAGCAGGCGCAGCCTTTCCTCGGCCAGCTGCCCAGCTACGGTGACCCCGTCGCTGTCGGTAACAAGCCCGCCCAGCGGTTCTCGGTCCTCTACAACATTCTGAAGAACATCCTCCTCGGCTACGACAACTCGGTCATCATGGCAGCCACGCTGAAGGAACTCGTTGAGGTCCTTCGCAACCCTGAGCTGCCCTACAGCGAGTGGAACGCCCAGTTTGCCGCTCTGCACTCTCGCATGCCTCAGAAGCTGGATGCGCAGTTCGGTCAGATTGTCGAGCGCGCCAAGTCGCGCCACGTCGAGTTCCCGGCCAAGGCGCTGGTCAAGGCTTTCCAGAAGTTCCTCGACGAGAACGTCGCTGCCGGCGACGTCGATCTGCTCAAGTCCACTCTGGCGCCGCTCAGCGAGGTGCTCAGCGCCTACAGCGAGGGTCAGAAGGCGCATGAGCTGAATGTCGTCAAGAGCCTGCTCGAGCAGTACGCCGAGACTGAGCAGCTCTTCACTGGACAGGGTTCTCAGGAGGACAGCACCATTCTCAAGCTCCGTGACCAGAACAAGGATGACATCTCCAAGGTTGTCCAGACCGTCCTGTCGCACAGCCGTGTCAGCGCCAAGAGCTCGCTCATTCTCGCCATCCTTGAGGAGTACCGCCCCAACAAGCCCAACGTCGGCAACATTGGCAAGCATCTCCGCGATGCCCTGCGTACCCTGACTGAGCTCCAGTCCTCGCGTGCCACCTCCAAGGTGTCCCTCAAGGCTCGCGAGATTATGATCCAGTGCTCTCTTCCTTCTCTGGAGGAGCGCACCTCGCAGATGGAGCACATTCTCAAGTCTTCTGTTGTCGAGTCTCGCTATGGCGAGGCTGCTTGGGAGCACCGTGAGCCCAACCTTGACGTCATCAAGGAGGTCGTTGATTCCAAGTACACCGTCTTTGACGTTCTCACCCTCTTCTTCTCGCACGAGGACCCCTTCGTGTCGATTGCCGCCCTCGAGGTCTACGTCCGCCGCGCCTACAGGGCCTACATCATCAAGAAGATCGAGTACCATGAGGATGAGACGGAGGCGCCTCTCTTTGTGTCCTGGGACTTCACGATCAGGAAGATGGGCCAGAGCGAGTACGGCCTTCCCTTGCAGTCCGCTGCCCCCTCCACCCCTGCCACCCCCAGCGGTCAGTTTGACTTCAAGCGCATCTCTTCCATCAGCGACCTTTCGTACTTCAACTCCAAGATGGACGAGGAGCCCAACCGCAAGGGTGTCATTGTGCCCTGCAAGTACCTCGAGGACGCCGAGGACCTGATCGCTCGCGCTCTCGAGGCGCTCGGCGAGAAGAGGAAGGCCGCCCCCGCGCCCAGCCTGCTGCCTGACCTGACCGGCAAGCGCAAGATTGTGGGCGCCAGCAAGCCCCACGAGCAGGAGCTCTCTGCCGTTATCAACGTCGCTGTTCGTGATGCCGAGAGCAAGAATGACCAGGAGATCCTTGCCCGCATCAAGCCCATCATCGCTCAGCTCAAGGGTGACCTCCTTGCCCGCCGTGTCCGTCGCATCAGTTTCATCTGCGGCCGCAACGACGGCTCGTACCCCGGTTACTACACCTTCCGGGGTCCCGGCTACGAGGAGGACGACAGCATTCGTCACAGCGAGCCTGCTCTTGCTTTCCAGCTGGAGCTGGGACGTCTCGCCAAGTTCAACATCAAGCCCGTCTTCACTGAGAACAAGAACATCCACGTTTACGAGGGCATTGGCAAGGCCGTCGAGACCGATAAGCGTTACTTCACTCGCGCTGTCATTCGTCCGGGTCGTCTCCGTGATGAGATTCCCACCACCGAATACCTCATCTCCGAGGCTGACCGTGTCGTCAACGACATCTTTGACGCTCTCGAGATCATCGGCAACAACAACTCTGATCTGAACCACATCTTCATCAACTTCACGCCCGTCTTCCAGCTCGAGCCTTCGGAGGTTGAGAGCAGCCTCCAGGGCTTCCTCGACCGCTTCGGTCCTCGCGCGTGGCGTCTTCGTGTCTCCCAGGTCGAGATTCGCATCATCTGTACCGATCCTCAGAGCGGTGTGCCCTACCCTCTTCGCGTCATCATCAACAACACCTCCGGATATGTTGTCGATGTCGATATCTACTCGGAGCGCAAGTCCGACAAGGGCGAGTGGGTATTCCACAGCATTGGCGGCACCCACGAGAAGGGCCCCATGCACCTGCTCGCTGTCACCACACCATACGCGACCAAGAACTGGCTGCAGCCCAAGCGTTACAAGGCCCACCTCATGGGAACTCAGTACGTCTACGATTTCCCCGAGCTCTTCCGCCAGGCCATCCAGAACAGCTGGGTCACGAGCGTCAAGAAGAACGGCGCTCTTGCTTCGCAGCAGCCTAAGGCCGGTGATTGCGTCTCATTCACCGAGCTCGTTCTCGACGACAAGAACAACCTGGACGAGGTCAGCCGTGAGCCCGGCACCAATGCGTGCGGCATGGTCGGCTGGATCTTCAACGCCAAGACCCCCGAGTATCCCAAGGGTCGCAAGTTCATCGTCGTCGCCAACGACATCACGTACCGCATCGGCTCCTTCGGCCCCAAGGAAGACAACTTCTTCAACAAGTGCACGGAGCTGGCGCGCAAGCTTGGCATTCCCCGCATCTACTTGTCTGCCAACTCGGGTGCCCGTCTCGGCGTTGCCGACGAGCTGATCCCCCACTTCAAGGTTGCGTGGAACGACCCTGCTAAGCAGGACGGCGGCTTCAAGTACCTGTACCTCGACGACGAGAGCAAGAAGGAGTTCGAGCAGGCTGTCATCACCGAGGAGGTTACGGAGGAGGGCGAGAAGCGCCACAAGATCGTCACCATCATCGGTACGGCCGACGGTCTCGGTGTTGAGTCGCTGCGTGGCTCTGGTCTCATCGCCGGTGCCACCAGCCGTGCTTACAACGACATTTTCACCGTGACCCTGGTGACGTGCCGTTCCGTCGGTATCGGTGCTTACCTCGTCCGTCTCGGTCAGCGTGCCGTCCAGATTGAGGGCCAGCCCATCATCCTGACCGGTGCCCCTGCCCTGAACAACGTCCTGGGTCGTGAGATCTACACATCCAACCTCCAGCTTGGTGGCACCCAGATCATGTACCGCAACGGTGTCTCGCACATGACTGCCAACGACGATTTCGCCGGTGTTTCCAAGATTGTTGAGTGGATGTCGTTTGTGCCCAAGGAGCGCGGCAGCCCCATCCCCATCAGCCCCAGCATTGACACCTGGGACCGTGACGTCGTCTACACGCCCCAGCAGAAGGGTGCGTTCGACGTTCGCTGGATGATTGGCGGCCGACAGACAGACGACGGCGACTTCGAGGCCGGCCTGTTTGACAAGGACTCGTTCATCGAGACCCTCGGCGGCTGGGCGCGTACCGTCGTTGTCGGTCGCGCTCGTCTCGGTGGCATCCCCATGGGTGTCATTGCCGTCGAGTCTCGTTCGATCGAGAACATTACGCCGGCCGACCCTGCCAACCCCGACTCGATCGAGCAGGTCACCAACGAAGCTGGCGGTGTCTGGTACCCCAACTCGGCGTTCAAGACTGCTCAGGCCATTAACGACTTCAACAACGGTGAGCAGCTGCCGCTGATGATCCTCGCCAACTGGGGGTGGTTTCTCTGGGGGGCCAGCGCGAAAATGTACAACGAAGGCCCTCCAAGAATGGTTCGTTCATCGTCGAACGCTCTCGTCAAAGTATTAAGCAGGCCCCATCTTCCGTGTACATCCCCGCCCTTTCGCGAGCTGCGGTGGGGGTTCTTTGGGGCCGGTGTCGGACCCCGACCCATTCAACCCTACTGTCATTGAAAATGTACGCCCGACGCCGAGGCCCCCCGGGGTGGTCCTCCAAGCCCGAGGGGTATCATCGGGCATCAAGTACAAGAAGGACAAGGCAGGTTCAGACTATGGAGCGTCCTTGACCCCGAGTACCGCCGCCCTCAAGGAAGCAGAACGGAGCCTTGGGCCCGTTCAAGGAACAGGGTCGACGCGATCCAGCAGGAAGATGGCCCATCGCGGGGAGGCCAGCTTTTTGCCCGTGGTACTTCGCAGAATTCGGGGCAATTTGGTGACCCTGCACGACCGCCCGGGCCGCAAGAAGGCCAAAGGGGTCATTTGGGGACGGTCCTGGAGTGGGCCCAACGCGGGGTTCCCTCTTTCTACTGGGGTTCGCGCAGGAGATTGAACGAGGAGTACAATGTGAAGCGCATGGCCACCAACGTGCTGTCTAGCCCCTTCAACGGCGAGCAGCGCGGCGGCGCCGAGGAGACGCGCCAGCGCAACCTGTCGCTCCTCGAGTCGTGGTCCGGTGTCATCAACTTTGGCACGGCGGACCCCGAGGCGTCCGAGTGGTACGAAGCCAACCGCAAGACCATTACGGATCGCATCGAGTCGCTCAAGACAGAGAGCTTCGCGAACGAGCTGACGGCTCTGTTGCGCGCCAACAAGTCGATCGGCATGAAGGGTGTCAGGGATGCTCTGCGCGTGATGCCCCCCGAGGAGAGGGACAGCATCCTGAAGTACCTGCGCGAGTAAGCAGGTGTTGAGTATGTGTGTGTGTACGAGTGAGAGATGGGGGTTGGTGACTACTCATGATGCATTTTCTTATCGTTGCTAGACTGGGATCAGGGTTGGGATGCAGCAGGTGTTTGTTTGTATGGCTATTTATGAATTTCATCTTTGTTCTGACACTATTGCTGTACCTTGTGATATTGCGTGAAAGCTGCCAATTCGAGCTCGCTAGTAGTCAGACTGGGGCAATTAATTATATTAAGAGATCATTCGGCCTAATGATCAGAGACTTGGCTGACAACGAGGCATCCCGTCTGCTGTTTGAGTGTCCACCAGTGTTGCCGCCGTTACGATCATGTCCGTCATACCAATCAGGGCACTAGAGTTACACAGAAGCCACCGACTAAACTCCATCATTACAAACGACCATTGTCGAGGATGGCATCCCCCAGCGTACGGAGTTAGTCGATCCAAAAAGTCAAGTTAGATGAATAACACTGAGAGCAAAACAAAAGATGATGAGGACGAGACTCGAACTCGCGCGGGTTGCCCCACCAGGAAATCTAGTTAAGGTAGACCTTAACCTGGCGCCATAACCAACTCGGCCACCTCACCGATTGATGATAACTACTCTGTTCAATTCAGTTCATGACTCAAGGACAATCCAATTTCTAGATGTTGTGGGAGCAATCTTTATTTGATGGACGAGTCACATCCCTATATCAGCGTGAATACTTTCCATTCTCCCATTGCTTCGCTGTGACTTCCCTAGTACTGATTCATGCCGTCACCTCTCACACCAGCGTCACGTCCGTCCACCGCTGCGTGGCCATGGAGTACTCCCACATCGCCTCCCTCCGTTCCGACGACCATGCCCATCTGCAACCCAGCAATATGCTCTCCAGCGGCTCCCCCGGCAGCAAGATCTCCACACTGCACAATCTATGGCCCCCGGGCGGAGTCGGCAGCGCCAGCTCCTCCGGCGTCGGAGGGCTGCACAGGGGAAAGTCCTCCTCTGCGGCCCCTACGCCGAACTCCTCCACCTGCTGCTGCTCTTCGAGCTCCATCACCTTCCTTGCGATGCGCGCCGCCACCTGAGAATCACACAATCCCTCGCGGTGTGCCGTCGACTCGAGGAGCCGAATGGCCTGCACCCTGACGCGCCGGACGCGGCACTTCATGGCCGTGAAGTACAGCGGCGGGATCCAGCCCATGTCGACGATGGCGCGGGACATGTCCATGGCCGGCGCCGTGAAGGGGGACAGCGCCGGGTCGCGTCTGCGCAGGCTCGTGAGTTGGTGCAGCAGCAGGGCAAAGTCGGCCGTGCAGCTGTCAAAGGCCGACTCGTCGCCGCGCGAGAGGCAGGTGTTCGCCATGATGGTTGCCATGGCGTGGATGGCGAAGGGGAGGCGGCGGTCCCGCTGTTCTTCTGCAAAGGTGGCCTCTTGCAGGCACTTCGTAGAAAGCGCTGAAATGCGGGAGCCATTGGTGGAGGCCGGCTCGATGCGGGCTTGGGCGTCGAGCATGCGGGCTGGGGGGAAAGGAGTGCCGCTGCTGCCTCGCGATGGGACGTACAAACGGGCTTGCTGGGTCAGGGCCATGGCCTCGCTCAGGAGGGGGCTCAGATGCTGCCAGGCTTCGTGGACCGATCGGAAGGCAGAGTTGGGCAGGGCTAGTCTAGTGGACAGGAGGTTTCGATACGGATACGTATGGGTGTAGCGCAGTATTCCGCTTTGGAGCTGGATCCTCAGAATGGCTTCGACGATCCAGTCGTCGATGGAGTCCATACAAGCCCTGACACAGATGCCGCCTGCAACAGTGGGGAAGAGCGATCTCGACTCTTCCAGAATCTTGAATCCATTGTCGAGATGAAGTCTCGTTGCCTCGAAATGGCCCCGGAACAGTTCAAAGCTGACGAACAGGAAACAGGCGATGAGCGCCACTCGCGTGGATGCCTTTCCCTTGCGCGCAAAATGAGGGCTCAGATGGCGCATCGCCTCGACATAGTGCTGGAGCGTGAACTTCTCCTCGGCAGTCCAGCCAGCCTTCGTTTTCTCAATCTGGTGGCTCTGCGCCGTGCCCCCGCCGTTCATGTGATACGATCCCAGCGCGAGTACAGCATTCAAGACAGCCGGCTCCTGAACGCTCGATTGGAAGATGAGTGTATTCCAAAACCCCGCGGCGTAGCTTGTTGGCACCCTGATCGAGGTGCGGTACTTGAACCATTCGAAACACTCTTGCTCCTGGGGATGCAGTACGAGGACAGGCGGTGCCGCACGCGGTCGGGAGACGACATGAGTATAGAGCGCTCCCGTCGGTTCCACGACGTAGCGATCATGGTAGGCTCTGCCGCCACCGCCCCAAATACCGTAGCCGTCGCAGACGCGGCCGGTTGTTACACAGCGCTTACAAGCCGGGCGGGCCTCGTCGCACTTCACTTCCGGGTCCTGGGAGCATATCGAACCTTCAGTCAGTTAAGCCGATCAGTTGAACGGTGGAAGCGTTCTCACTTGCAGGTGCGGCACCCAGATTTGACCTTCGCTTTACGCGTATTCTTGACCACTGGCAACATGGTTGGTCACCGACGGTCGTTAGTCAATCAGCGTAAATATTTCGGCAGCGAATATTAGTATGTGGAATTGCCTCTTCATTCATTAGTTTCGGTTCCTGTCGATCGTTCGTTGTTCTTTGCGATGCTTCATCCCTCAGACTTTGGCCCGTTTTTATGGCTTTCTCAATCAGTCGTCGTTAAGGACGCTATTGACTATGATTTGGTGGTAAAGAAACGGGATGGCGACCACCGCACACAATTCTTACTTAGGCGAACAAAAGAATGACCGGGGTCGTTTCAAGGAAGGTAAGAAGCTCTTGATCCCTCTGACGTGTGCCAATCACACAGCCCAGAAGCGCGGGCAGCTGAT